ATCAGATGCATGTTGTGAATACCCGCTTCGTCAGATGGGTATTCACCCACGAAAGCTTATGCTCCAATACTTCTGTTAGTCTATAAGGTGCCACAGGACTCTTTGTTGCTATTTAATTAAAAGCAGTATAAGTGAAGGTTCCTTCAGTCTGAAGTTAAAAGTGAGTTAGACTTAAACACAAACCAGCTCCTTCATTTCCTTTGGCTTATTTGCTCTGCACAGGTGAGAAAATTAGTGATGGTTACTTGCCAGGGACACGTTAACTTTGCAACTGCCATACTTTGCTAATACCAAACACAAACCATTATGACAATGTTCCATGAGAAGATGCACCTAGATCAATCTCTTGAACAATACTAACCACTGGTTCAAGGTGAATACACCCTCTGGGCTCAGCTAGCATATCTGGTGGATCTCTTCTGACAAAAAACTTTTCATTCCATCTCATCTCCAAAAGAAACAGACAACTTTAAGGAAAGAGGACATCACATTTCGGAGCCAGCCATTCAGAGGTGCTGAGCACCCACAGCTCCCAGTGACTGTAGTTGGAATTGTGGTAGCTGAGCACTCAGGGGTGCTGGAACAATTTGTATAGTGGGGGTGCTGAGACCCCTTGAACCAAACTGTAAACCCTGTATGTGATTGAAACCACTTCAAGCCAGGGAGTGCGACAGCACCCCTCGTTTCAGCACCGATATCAGCACTGCTGAAATACAGACCCTTACTGCCATGGCCTTGGTTTCCCTAGATCAGTGGCCAGTAATAGATATGGCATGGGAAAAAAAAATCTTATTTCTGTATAGAACTAGAGGATTAAGAAAACTACATTTCATACAACCAAGAAAAGGCTATTTGTGATTAATGCTGGTAACTCCCCAGCATGCCTGGCTGAGGTTACTGCTAAAAGAAACATCTTTCCACAGTAAGAACTAAAATTCTCTGTAATGTACAGGCTTGGGAAATGAACTAGAAAAGCCTTTAACACCAAAGTTAGGTCATCAGAATTTAAAAGCTTCTTTTCTTGTCTCAGCACTCTAACGCCTCTTACAAAGGATTGGAGTAGATGGCTGTATCCAATTCTTTTAAGAACAGAAAGCAAACATTGTTGCCAGGTGCACTAATAGTACTTAATTGAAGGCCAGAAGGAAAAATGGCAAGAATTATGTTTGTAACCTGCTTGGAATATTTCCATATAATATTGGGAAAAATATGCTCTCCCTTAGTTAATCTAATGTGCCCACCACCCTGGTGCCCAGGTGCTATTATGTGAAGCAACCCTCAGGGTGTGTCTACACTACATGTCCCCATATCCTGGCTCACGCTCACTCATTAGCCAAGCCCACTACCGACCCCACACTGCAGAACCGCACACATACAAGACCCATTATACCTGCTTGACTGAACCTAAGAAAATATTTTGTGAGCAGCAGAGTTGTAGTATATTTTACTTCTAATTCATCTAGAATTCATTAGAAAAGTTTTGTAGGTTTCCTGCGTCCTCTAGAAAAACTTGTATATCAAACATGTTACTGCTTAGATCCAGGTTTTAACTGCCTTAAATAAGGGCATTTAGGCCTAATCTTAGTAGAGTAGAACAAGACCACAAAGTGCTTGGACTGGATATTTTTATCTACGTTTTGAAAGGTCAACTTTATGTTCAGCAACTTTTCCCAATACTCAGCTTCTTTTGAGCAAAGAACGAAAAATAAATAAGAAATAAGTTACAGCCTGCATATGTAAGTATTTTTCCTATTGTGATTTTTAGTAGCCATATTTAAGGTGATATTTGAGGACACGCCTTCCATTTTTAATAATGACAAAATATATCTGAGAAGCACTAAAACAGAGCAAATCTTTGAAATCTTCAAGGTTAAAATATACTGCTAAATGTGCAAGTTTGCTACTGATCTCTGAAGTTAAGAGAATATGGCAATGCATATTTCTTGACCAAAAAAACCCACCCAATGTCCAAGGATTAAATCTAGAAGGGAAGGGAACAGAAGACATTCTTCTGCTATTAAAAAGCTGCATGCGTATAGTTGCCACAACTTCCTAACTGGCTACTGCTACAATTCAATAATCTTTTCACCCTGAAACATAAAATAACAAGGGTTCTTTTTATGCAGGAAATGGAAACGTTAAAAGAACACTTAATAGAGAACCTTACAATTTTTAAGTCCACAGGCACGAGGCAGATGGAAGATGCAGCATACTGGAAGGATCAAATTTACTTAATAAACTGTCTAATGCTAAGAGCCCCAGTGCACAAGCGACTTACAAAATTATAAAGACTTGGAGCCAAAGGTAACAACTCTCTTATTCCAGGGCCACTTCTGAAGCAGTGCCAGCATAATTTAGAGCAGCCTAATGTCTGCTTAAAGTTATGTTGGCTGGCTACAGCCCCTAAGGGTGTGTTTACTTTGCAAAAAAACCTGCGGGGCAGTGAGACTCAGAGCCCAGGTCTACAGACTTGGGCTCATGCTACAGCCCTAAAAATAGCCACGTAGATATTCCCGCTAGGGCTGGGGCTCTGAGGCTGGGGGAAGGGGTGGATTTCTTTCTATGCAAGGGTAACTACATAAGGTAGTAGCATCCTCAGGCTCTAAATCCACCGCCTCCCAGAGCTCAATTGGGTACGTTTACTTGGCTATTTTTAGTGTCATAGCAGGAGCTCAAGTCTGTACACTCAGGCTCTGAGACTCACTGCTGCAGTTCCCTCCCCCCACCCGCCAGTGTAGACATAATGTCAGGGGCCATCCTCCAGCTGGGGATAGCTGAAACACAATGAGCTGCATCCCCTCACCACTAGTTCTATACCCGTTAGTCTTCTCCATACCAGGGAAACCCTCAGCTGGGGAGCTAAGGCAGCCTTCTGCTCTTTCTGCCATGGGAGTAGCATAAATGGAGCAGACAAGGCATCTAGATCGGGCCTAGAATTCCTTAAAGGTAGGCTGATCTTGGTTAGACATATTGCATCCAGAAACAAATCTATCCAAAGATCAGTTTACTGAGACAGAGACTACTGTATATCATTGCCTAAATGAGGGACTCCACTTTCTTCCCTCCAAGTCAATTATATTATATTACTGCTTAATAATAATATGCAAGGTAGCAGACTTCTCTTTCTAGGAGGCTGGTTGTTCAGAATCTCCAAGTAATTCAAATTGACAGAATCAGAATGTCCTGCATAATCAAATTTTCTTTCTGGTGGATTATGGCTTAAATAGTATCCAAGTTTCCTTACAAATACCTGTTTAACTTTACAAACATTTAAGATAAAGAAGGTGTCAATGAAGTCAGAGATACAGATGCTTACCCATAGAAGACGACTGTGTTTCTAAGAACAGGAATTCTTTCTTGCTGCATTTTGTTTAGTCTGCTCATCTTTGTGCTTGATCAGGAAAAGAGGTAGTCTGAGAGTGTACTGACCTAGCACTGAGCTAAGCTGTGGCTAGTGCCACCATATGAAGGGCTTGTCTGCAAGAATGCCTGCTCAAATGCAACTGTAATTACAATGGTACAGTACTAGTGGATGCTGACAATTGTTTCTGGATTTTCACTTATTACCAGGGTTACAGTCTATTTTTTAAACATTCTGGAAATGCTAAGGCCTGAGTGGATGAACAAGTTCCAACAATTTAATACACTTTTTGCTATCCCTTGGGGTATGTCTTCACTACCGACCGGATCGGCCGGCAGTGATCAATCCAGTGGAGATCGATTTATTGTGTCTAGTCTAGAGGCGATAAATCGATCCCTGAGTGCTCTCCTGTCGACTCCTGTACTCCAGCTTAGCAAGAGGCGCAGGCAGAGTCAACGGGGGAGCGGCAGCAGTAGACTCACCGTAGTGAAGACACCGCGGTGAGTAGATCTAAGTACGTCGACTTCAGCTACGTTATTCATGTAGCTGAAGTTGCGTAACTTAGATCGATCGATCCTCCCCCGCCATCCCCAGTGTAGACCAGGCCTTGTTAAACAATCAATGTCACGCTTTTGTTGGGGCTACATAGGTGAGGGTCCATAAGAACCTTTTTGTTAGCAGATTTCCAACAGCTTGTATACAAACATTACAAATATAACTAAGTCAAAGGACTCAATTACAAGATGTTTGTTCTGTGACCTGGTCATAACACAATTTTAGTGTATATTGTAGATGGGTCCTGTAACCGGGGTAAAGCCTTGGATCAAGGTTCCATCTACATTACAGACTGGAACTGTGTTGTGACTGGTTCACAGAATAGCCATGTTGCAACCCGGCTGATCTGGCTGTATCTGAAGTGTTGGTGGACCCTAAGATACTCTGTTGCTGTCTAAGGACTTTACAAGGAGAAAAGAGAGCAGAATCAGCATGGTCTGTGCTGCAGGGGGCAAGAGGAAGGACAGTATCAACCTATGTGCTTTAAAAGCTTTTAGCCTCTTGAGAAAAGGTTTTACAGTGAGAACATACCTTGATTATATGAAGCGTTCCCAAGCAGTTGAAACAATCTGCAGGTCAATCACATTTTAACTTTGAGGATAACCCTTTCATGGCCATGTTCTAATTTAACACACAAGCTGAAGTTCATGTTATACCATAAAACAGACAACTGAGTTCTTAAGAGAAATCAGACTCTGGATCATCATACCGTCTGTCACCTGTGACCAGGTAGATTATGATGTCATGAATTGCGGTGGTGATGATGCTCAATTTAGTTCAGCTGCATTAAGAGGAAATGTAAACCACCTGTGCCAAGGGGCATGCGATGAGGAAACAGAAACCACAGAACCACAAAGCTCTGAAATGAATACATGGATGAATTTGCTTTCTTGGGCTTTGCTCTAGTTCATAAATTGATCAAACCGTGTTTATGTACTCAGCAGAGCCCCATGATAGACTTGTATTCACATCAGAGCTTTTGATTAACTTAAGCATGGTCAAGAAAGGTTTCTTAAAATCTAAGAGTGATTTCAGAACTACTTGAAGAAATCTATGATGAAATGAAGGACCCAAAGGCATTTAATTGTTGAACACATAAAAGGAAGTATATTTAAAATAAAAAAAATTGGTCAGACTGTAGAGTCAGTTACCATTTTTAAGGAATTTACAGGGCTGTTGTAGATGAGTCTTTTGGAATAGCCAGTTTATCGCATTGCTTAAACTGGTTTCTTCATTGCACAGTATTTTCTCTTAAAATGTGTGCATTTTTTAAACATTACATACATATTAAAAATCAGCATTTCTTTGCTTAAACTTAATTAAAACGTTAATACTCTCAGACAACACAGATCTGAAATGGTGAAACCAGTAATTTCCCCCGCCCACCTTACAACAAATTAAATTGAGACAAAATTACAAACACATTTCACTACATGATTATTATTAATAAAAATCAGTTTTTTTTATAAAGTTGCCCAAAATGCAAGGGATGTGCATAGGTTTACAACTTAGTCATAATAATATTTTTATTTTATTCCCTTGGGTACGTTTTCCCATGAACGGAATGTATTTTGCTGTAGATTACAGGTTTTTTTTCAACACAGATACACCAACGGCATGAACGCTTGCGACTGTCCACATGCATTAAGAGTCAAGACCCAATTTCAAATCTCTAAAAGGTTTACAGAGTTCTTCAAAGAGACAGTATCACATTATCTGGATGTTACATAAAAATACTTAAAAATACTATTCTAAAAAAAAAAAAAAGCAAAGAAAGGCCTTTAAAATTTATGAATTTGTTTTGCAATCATTAGACTAATTATTTCAAATAAATAAAGGAAAGCAAGGTATCCCAATCCATAAAATCAGACTCTAAATAGAATGTAGTGTTCCACCCCCAAGTTAAGGTAACAGAATCATTTATTATTATTATTATTAAAATAGATTATAGAAAGCAGCATCTATTTTGTGCAGTTTTTAGGGGCTTTGAAATAATAAGCTATGATTTCCAAAAATATAACATTCCAAAGGATTGAATAATACATATATTGAAACATATATTTTATTAAAGTTTAGGAGAACTGATTAAAAAAGATACTGTCTCTTTAAATTAGTGTTTAATTTTTTTTCTCCTCCTATCTATTAGGACATGACAATAATTATAAATTTAGGTCACACTACATCTAGGTAGTCTCTAGGGGCCAAGATCTGTTGACACAAGGTCAATAACAAAGAGGTTTTCCATGTATGAGGTGGTTCCCAGTATTGATAAAATTCTTCAGTTATCTGGTGAAAGGCCTAATAGACCCAGGAGACTGGAACCCACTGTGATGCTGTACAAACAAGCTCAATGGCTTCCTCCAGATGCCTGATTGTTTCATCAATTTCATTGTTGATAATTGTTAGATCAAAGTAGTGTGCATATGTTCTCTGTAAGATCTCAGATTCCTTTTGCAGGCGCTGAAGAGATTCATCCTGCACAATGATTGGAAAAGAAAGCAAGAGAGATAAATTAGGTTCTTTTGTTCAGTTTTCTGTTTGTTGGTTACAGAGAAGGAAACAGCAAAAATAAAACCTAATCTAAGGATTCATGAATGACTTATGTCCTCTACATAATGTCAAATTCCATGCACAAGGAAGAAACTAACTTGCTTCTCCCTTGTAACTTTACACAAAATCACAATTCTCAACAGAGGTTACTCAAGACACATCAGGACACTTATCTAATTTGTGGGAAGGGTTAAACAGACAGGGGATAAGCATGAGGATTAAAAAAAAAAAAATAGAAGTAAGAACCAGTACAAACATGGAAAGAGTGCCAGTTCATGAATGAAAACATACCCAGTTCACAAATACACGCTGTTTGGCATCTATCCAGACATCGATACTGGAAACATGACAGGATGTGTTTTCAAGTATCAGCTGTTTTCGGACAATTTCTGTAATATCTATTACTACTCAGCATCAGTCTTTGAGTTTCACTTTCTTTTATTTTAATAAGTATTTACTGTGGACAGTCTATGGAAATTCTCACTCTATTGCTTTCTAATTTCTCTTTTACTATAACCCTCTTCTAACATCTTATGGTCTATCTGAGACTATTTAATTCCAGACTCTACTGGTGCAATTCAAGCCCACCAAAAATAGCTGCACCAGGTTCACCACCTCCAACTCTTCTGGGAGTTGTGTCGGGAACCTGCCCTAAATTGAGACCAGGTTATCATATATGGCCTTTGGAATCATATTTTGTGGGTGCTCCTGCCACGCTCCTCCAAGGCCAGCACTGCTCACATTCTGGGATTCACTGATTGAGTCTGGGCTTCCAAATGGAGCAGGGTTGCAGGAGGCTTGTGGCATGGATGACTCACGCCCCCACTCACTCTGGGGGGCCTGCTGCCTCAGTTCTGTGGTGAGAATGAATGATGGGAGTTTAAACTCTCTTCTCACAATTCCCTCAGGATACCAGAAGATCACCTGAAATTTCCCACAAGCCATTGCTTCTAGAAACTGTGGGATAGGTACCCAGGAGTCAGTGCAAATGAAATGTCATCGCACAGTGCAATATGGAAATGGGGCAAAACTACTCCCAAAACAATATGGCCAGTATGGGCACACTGCAGTGTTAGTACCTACCCTGGTGTTATCCCACCAGTTCAATTAGCAATGGTTCAGTTCTCTAGTGTACCAATAGATGCAGCCCAGCACTCCAGTGCTATAAAGCACAGAGCAGCATTGAGTGGCCTTATTACTTGAAATTATTTGGGCCACAAAATTTGATTTCCATAGTCTTCATATTAAGAGGGAAACTGGGTTCTCTTTCCTCAACTGACCAAGTATCTGGAATTGCACTGAATAATAATAATAAAAAAAAGATGTGGAAGCTGCACCTTTTGGGGCATCTGAAAATCAGCATTCAGTGGGAGGAAACTGGGATGAGGCACTTTTCCGACACCATGAAACTAACCATTTCTTTGAGTATAGTTCTAGATCCTGATTGAATCGCTTCAGAAAAGCAGCAGCTCCTAACAACTGTACAGTCCCCACTAGTCAACAGAAGGTGACTCAATCTCTCCATAATTGAACACTACATTCAAACATAAATGTAGCCAAGTGCTCCTCACACAGACGTATACAGAGAATGTCCTTTTAAGGAGTATTATGCACCCAAACAAGCACATGTGAAAAACAATATGTGCAGATTTGTCCTATGCTATTCTCAAGTCAATTACTGATAAAGAGAGACCTTAGGTTGTGCTAAATACACCACTGGGACACCTACAATAACGCAGCAACCATGGCAAAATCCTCAGCTATCGTCAATTATCATAGCTCAACTGACTTCAACAGAGCTTCAATGATTTCTACTAGCTGAGAATTGGACGCCTTTGTGTTTAAATTAATTTACAAAGTGAAAAATTATATTTGTATAAGTGCTAAATTTTTAGCACTTTCAAGATACCTAATTAAAAGGTACATTTTATGTCTGTAACCCCAATGTTTTAAAAATACACAGTACTGGACACCGTATATTTCAAATGAGTATAAACCAGAAGCCATTGGACTAATACTGTATGTTATAATATAAAAGGTTTTAGAACTCGGGACACAAATGTAGGTTTTCACAATCAGTTTCATGCCTGTATCAGTAATACTCAGTAAATGTATGGATATAAACTTTTTAATCTACACTATTTTATAACGGTAAATTAGCAGAGAAAATAGAAATCTGCAGGGAATCTGTAAAACATGTGGGTATTTCCTTTAAAAAAAGGAAAACAGGAAAAGAATGAGAAGAGTTGTTCTCAAATCTTTACTTCTACTTGGCTCTGGTCCTAGATTTTGCAAAAACAAAGAGGGTATTTCAAAAATATCTATTAGATTATAGCATTTAACTGTCACTGTTGTTCCTACATAATATTTTATAGACAACTAAGGAGATTGTATTTTGGGAGACCTACACTACTTACCCTCATGGAAATGCAAAATGTTACTTTTACCTACTCCTAGGGGAATTCTGCGCCAAAAAATAAAAAATTCTGCAGCAAAAAATAAAAAATTCTATGCATGATATAAAATTCTGAAAAATTCTGCATATTTTATTTGTCAAAATAACGCAATATAATCACTCTGGTTTCAATTATTTTGGTAATTTATTTCAACGACAATATAATGGATGGAAAATTGGAGTGGAGAGCATTGGAGGAAATCCCCAAACCCCCATGCCTAACAGTAATGTAACTAGGTTTGACCCTTTATTTCTAGTTATTAGTCAACAAATATATGCAGCCATATGCTCAGTGTTACATCCTAGGCAACTGAACAGCAATTGAGGGCTGGGGAATCAAACTCACAATTTATATTGACTACTGACCATCTCCAGAAAGGTCAGTAGCAAACAGTTCATGGAGCCCATTCTGATAGGAATTTTTTTCAGTCCAAAAATGTAGACCAGTTCTAATCACTAAAGCACCAGAAGCATTTATAAAGCCATACTGTCCTTTACACCACTCTGGCAATGTAAAGGAGCCTTAAAACATTTACACCTGTTTTATACTCCTGGGGGAATTCACAAAGAGAATGGGAACAATTCACTAAGTAGGCCGGCTGCTACATTCTGCTCTGCCTGAGGGGACAGAGCCTGTCCCACACCTATCTCCTCAGAAACACCCCGAAGCCCTGCCCCATCCACGCCAAGCATGCTGCAATAGCAAGCGAGAAGGACAGAGTGTCTCTCTCCCTCTCACACATACGACTCTATAACCCCCACCCTCCCTTGGGTGGTGATTTACATCTCTACTGGCTGCTCCGGGTGCCCAAACCAACCTGCCTGCACTGCTGGGGAGGGGCGGATGACTGATTTTGCGGCTTCCCTTTGCTTCCTCATCAGAAGGCATTTTTCTGTGTGGAAGCAAAGAAATCTTCAGGGGACATGAATTCTGTGCATGCACAGTGATGCGGAATTGCCAGAGGAGTATTTTTACTATTGTCCTCAAGAATGTAGGATAAGTCTTTTACTTTACTGAATTAAGGATTGGCCTGAGCTGCAAAGTTCTGAAGTGGGTCCAAACTTCCTCAAAGTTTGGGAAGGAGGAGCCAGCTCAAGGTTTCTTGTTTGGTCCCACCTCTAATTTGAGTATACGACAGAATTATCACCTATCTGCATATTCCAAATTTACAGTATTATTTGTGCACATGTCCTTTAAAAAAAACCTGAATATCAGAATGCAAGATATATATCTAGCCACACTGGATAACAGTTTTGGCTAAATGTTTCTGGTAAGTTGATTAGCAGTTAAAGGATTTATGTCACTTAGCATGTAAGTGGCCATAATCAGGCTTCAAAACTAACATCCCATTAAGACCTCTCTTTACATTGTGAAGGTTAGCTTGGCAACCAGAAGGGATATCATTTTTTGTTTTAAAATTAAAATGTTAAAACTAGAGATGTGCTACGACATTTGAAATCTCTAAAATTTGTATTTTCAATTGTGCCAGGCAGTAAGACATTTCAGGCCATGCATTTCTGGGGATTATTACATGTTTTGTGGTTGAAGATATCAAGCACTTGGTTTGTGCCTCATAAAACCACGAGAACCATCCAATATTTACCCAGAAAGGCACTGTATTTTGTGTCTTTACTCTCAGTTATAGTGGGATCCCTGTAAACTGGAGATACTGTACATGCATTCTACAGTCGGTTAAAATGGCTCAACTGTGCATTGCAGGATAAGGCTGTTTGAACCGTGTCAACCACAAAGTCATAATGTGCATTTCCTAGAGTAGGAATAAAAGTCTCTGTGCTCACTTGTTTTTGAGGCTATCCTTTTAACTTTTTCTTTTTGCCAATGAATAATCCTTCCATTTGAATGAGCTTTAGCACAGATGTCTAGGTCTTTAGTACTTTATACTTTTATTCTAACGGCAAAAGTAATGTTGAGTGGGAATAAGGATGTCTACAATCTAAATCTATTAAAATAATCAGAATTGCATCTTATCAGGTCCTAGCTGGTACTTACAGGCAATTTTCTGCACCATTTTGGCAGCTATATAAAGTGAATAAGAGTGCAGGAAAATGAAAAGAAAGGCAAAGATGATAATTCAAGAAAAAACATAAGGAAAAAAGACAGTCATTTACAGATGTTTGCACGTCAGGTGTTTGTAAAAATGAAACAAAGCAGGATAAAAAGGTCAAAAGGGCTATTCTTTATGCAAATGAATCTTTTGTAAAAGAAAAAATGAATGGGAAATATGAAGTATGCGCACGAAAACCTAGTCTGCTAAGACACATCATACCACAGTTTCTGTATATATTCCATTCCCTCTCATGCAGCACAATAGATCCAGGTGAGTAGGACCCCAGATTGCATTAATGTCCATTGTTATTACTTGTTTTTTAAAGTGAGTGTTAGTGGTTTACAGACAGTGACAGTTTTAGCAAGTATTCAAAACATTAAAGCATGACTCTGACTTAGCAATGGAGTCCACTTGGATGAATTTTTATGCCACACAGATCGAATTGCAGGATCTGGGCCATAAAAAGTAAACAAAACTTAAAAGGAAATACAGCACAAGAGCATAATAATGAGACTATATATTTGAACCCTAACCTTTCTTGGTTTAACTCCCCTATGTCTTCCATCTCAATGAGGGGAAAAAAGCCCAATCTTGCACATGCCCACACTGTAGCTCAGTACATCCCAAACCAGCAATTTGCTTTCTCATATTAACCCTTCCAGTTCTCCCCCATCTCACATTCTACAACATGAACTTCTGAATGGTTAAAAGAAAAGTACCACTGGTATTTCAGAGTTGGAGATTTGAAACACCACACTGGAGCAATCAGATAATTCTGTAATAACTTTGGGCCAAAGACATATGGATTTAAAAAAAAAAGGCAAAAATAGTACTGAAGATTTTCAGGGGCTTTTGTGCATTTACAATGTGTTGTACAATAGCTCCAGCTAAAATAATCAGAACAGTTGCATAACAATCCAGGACTGATTCTCACGCTCTTGAGCTGGTTTTTTTTTTTTTTTTTTTTTTTTTACAAACAGTTATGCAATCTGCTGTGCAAAATAATATCTACCATTACAAGTGACTAAGATGCAGCATTTTAATATTTGCTCATATAAATTTACGGTAAATGACAACATCAGCAATGTTTCAGAGGAATAATCACTACATCATTTTAACGTAGCTGAAATCAGAATGCTCTGAGACATCTTCATTTCTGTGTTTGGAAAACTTAACAGTTAAAACAAAGTATCAGAGGGGTAGCCATGTTAGTGTCTATCCACAAAAACAACAAGGAGTCCAGTGGCACCTTAAAGACTAACAGATTTATTTTGGCATAAATCTGTTAGTCTTTAAGGTGCCACCGGACTCCTTATTACTTAAAACAAAGCCATTTGTCTTTCACTTTTTTTCCATAATTTTCTTGCCATTTTACTAATTATTTATGGTATTTGTGTTTGACCATCTTTATCCTTTCTGGCCCATCATTTATCTGCAAGAATCCGTAGTGAAGTCCTAATTCAAATTGTGTTATCACACACATTATGTCTGGGGAAGCAGACTGTTGCTACAAACACAGGATTATCATTTCCCTGCAGGATCAAAGAGATGGAAGAGGGATTTGCTAAGAGAGAAAGTTCTTATTAAGATACAAATACAATTAACACCTTACTAGAGCAAAAAAAAGGAAAGAGCTGGTTATAAATGTTTTGTTTGTTCTGGTTTGAGCTAAATCCTGAGGTCTTTATTTACATAAACTCTCTTTGAACATGAACACTTAATTTCTCACAAGCAGGTATCCATTCCAGTTTCACAGTTCCAAGTATCACAATGTTATTTGAATGTAATAAGCAAGTTTCTGGTACATTGCTATGGGATTTCTTTTCTCAAAGACGAAACTTAGTAGCAGCTTCCTCCTCCTACTTGGGGAGGAAAGAGTAAAGTAGATTGAATGACTCAGAAACTGGAAATTTTTGGACAGCTGACCAATTAGCTGGCTCAATGGCCACAGCAAGGATTTTGGAAACAATTTTTTTAGGTAGGGAGGAAATAAAACTGAATATATTTTAAAAGGATATCAAATGATCAATACTGATCTATATATCAGCTGATGTTAAAGTTGTCATGTGAAGAGCTAAGAGTACTATGAAGTGCTTCCCTAGTAGTGACAGTGCATGGACCCTTGCAGCTCAAGTTTATATTTAAACGTAGGAAAAATCATTTGTTATTCAGTAAGATCATCTCAATCTTAACTTCAGTGGTGTTCTGACCCCACTATAAAAGACAACTGGTCAGTTAAAATGTTGATCTTATTCACATACTGAATCATCCATATAATTGTGTCTCCTGATAAAAACATTTATCTGTAATAAGCCTTACCTCATTAATGCCTGGGGTAATCGTAGGTGCAGCAATAAAAACAACAAAAGGGGCAAACTCTGCAGTTCTCAGGACCTTCAGTGCCTATGTAAAAAACATTAAATACTTGAGAAGAGGAACAAATCAATCAACAGGATACAAGTTTAAATACACAAACAGAGGGAAGAACTAACAAGACTTTAGATCAGTTTTAAAATATAATCAAGAAATATTAAGAATTAAGACCCTGATCCTGGTAAGACTTACAGATGTGCTTAAGCTTACAGTCACATTTACTCCACTAAGTCTTTGCAAGATTGGGGCCCAAACTGTCAGTTCATCATCATAAAGAACTGCCAGGGTAAACATCCAAGATTTCATATGCAGGGTATTTTTCCTACAGAAAAAACTAAAAATCAGTTTATATTTAAGCTAAAGAATTTGCATTAGCCAGAAAAACTTTTGCTCTGGTTATTCTCAATGGGTCAAAATGTAAATTGTACTTTATAGTAAATGATGACTAAAATATAAGAAAACATTTTCTGGTTGAGAATATTGTTCAGCCTACAGATAAACTTATTTTTATTTTTGCTGAAGCAAAAATGTTCTGATTTGGAAACTATGAAGCTTTCAAAGTGTGAGGTTACTGAACATACTAATAATTCAATAATCAAACTGAGACCAATGGCCCTGCTAGAGAGGCTACAAGCTACCTCTATGCAGAAGGGTAAATGTAAAGACAATGGTTATGCTTAACCTGACTCAAACAGTAATGATTTATGAGTGACAGATAGTTCCACAAATGAGGCCCTACTACAGGGAGTCCCTCCTCCTGGCCTGTTCCAAACTGAAACTTGGGGTAGGTAGCAAGCAAACATAACCTAGCTGATCTCAACTGTCTGGGCAGAACGTAGAATGAAAGATACTTCTATTCCACTCCAAAGCAGTACAAAGTGGCCCTTTGTTTTTTAAACCAGCCTGACAGCCAGCTGAGTTGATGTCTCTCTCTGCTGCTTGAAATCCACCTTCAGGTATAATCAGGTATGCATTGTTTCTACAGAAAAAAAGAGGTCACCCTGCAAACATGGGTACATGAGTCAGGGAAGCTCACAGAATGGAGGATGCCTGAACCTGGAATACAGAAACAGGGTAATTAACTAGAACTGGGCTCATGGACAAGTACTACAGTGACTCTAACGAATTAGGTGAGCTGCATTATACAATGTAGTCAGATATCTTATTTTTGTTCTGAAAGTCTCCACTTAGGTAAAACAAAGTCCATCAACTGCACTGTCCCGAACCAAATCTGTGATCTCATGAATCCAGCCACAAAAGAAGAGAAGAGCCAGTGTAGAGAAAACAGACAATATTGGTCACAACTAGTTAATTTTGCTCACAGGGGGATGAGCCCTGCGAACCAAAGCAGTGACTGGTGGAAAAGAATGCAGAGAGTTCATAACCCAAGAAAAATAACGGTCAGGCTTGTTGTCTTCTGGGCTCAGCTGCTCATATTTTTAATTGGTTCCTGCAAGTTATTTCAGGCCTGGTCTCTTGTTTCCCCATGTCCTTTAACCTGCTTGAATATGAATTCAAAGGCACCACAGCTAAAAATAAAACATACAAATACTCGGCCATCAACTGAAATTCATATCAACGTGGGGGGTTCCAAAGGAAATTAGTCAAAATGTTCCACTTAGGATTTTATATCAAGATTGCAACACTGTGAATAAAGTATTCATATTCTTTGAGTTTGTGAATTTACCTATTCACTGATGCTATTATAACACACACAAAGACATTAATAAATATAGTTGTAGCCATTCTATAGGCAACACCTTCCTATGGCATCAGTGATTGACAGAGAATGCTATTTCTGGGATTGCTGACCTAGTAACAGCAGGGAAGTAGGGGGCAATCAGGACAACGCAGAACAAAATTCCCTCTTGTGTGTGGTATCAAAGTGAAATCTAGGGCTGAACATACTAATGCATTACAGCTGGCCAGCACAGACAATCAGCTGCTTCAATGGACAGCTAAGTGCAGTGAACAACAATGTAACAATAATTTCCCTTATTATATTAAAGTGTGCAATAAGCAGATTTTCATAGCAGTACTGGTCCCTTGCCAAGACAAATGGTGAGCTCATTTCTACGTCTTACTTTTACCCTAATAATCAGTAGAAAATGATTTCATACACTGAAGTTCCTGTGTGGAACCATTGCCCCACATACTAAAAACCTTTCACATTAAATGTATGATGAGCTATACGTCTTAAATTCTATGGTCAAAAAATGACTGGCGATAGATAACAAAATAAAATTCAGGTGTCTCTCATAAGTTTTGCATTTTTATGTATTTCCAATAAGTACCTGAGGCTCTACATCAAGTATTGCAATTAGTCCCTGCTCATGGATCTTCCGTATTGTTTCCAGTTTTGTCCCATACATTGCGTCCTCATGGCTGCCATATTCCAAATATTCATTGTTGGATATATCCTGCATCATTTGGTCATGCGATACAAAGTAATAATTCTTTCCATTTTCTTCATCTTTTTTGGGAGGTCTGGTTGTGTCTGAAATGTCAAGGAATGCAAAAGGACACAATTTAAATGTGGATTTTTTTTGTTGGCCTATTAATAGTTATTCATGTAACAATCCATTCCCAAACTGTTCTAAATCTTGATTATTTTTTACATATTTTCAAAGTTTTATTCACTTGCTCGACAAAGGCTTACGTTAACCATCAATTACTATTTAAATGATTCTTTTAAACTTCAAAGGTGCAGGGAGAGGGGCATAAGGTGTGTGTGTCTCTGTCCCGTTTCTGTATAATTGCTAGCAGAGAATGGTGTTTAGTTTGGTGGAAGACACTAGTAACTCAATTAACTCTGGAACTTGTACCATGACTATGCGTAGGCTTCAAGCACAGGGAAGAGAAAGGGGTTTTGAAATCCTCCAAGCCTTCCTTCTTCCTTGGTGAACAAACCCTCCTGATAGACACTTGCATATTCAACCCCCAGTGTCTGCCTTCAACTCCTTCCTCAAACCTTGATAAATTCTGCAAGAAGAGGTCTCCAGTGCACTCCTTCCTGCCTCTCCTGTCTCAATCTAATCTTGGGCTTCCAGGCATCATTCTGACTCTCCACCTCTAAGGCCTTGGCCCCATCCTCCCAAATTTCCCTCAACACGTCTCATCCTCTCCCTCTACCTCTCTCCTCAACCTTGTATCCTCTGGTATGATAGGCGGAGCTGATAGTATCAACGATAGTTAAGGTTGCCCAACACTTCCCATTATAACACTCTTTTTTTTTTTTTACACAGCCATTTAGTTCAGAAGCTCTCGTATCTCCATACTTTGGAACAGGGACATGAAATTTGGCGGGGGTGGGGAGTGTCACCCTAATGTCAGGGATGTGTCTTTTGGTGTATTCAAGACAATTCACCCAAATATGGTCAAGTTAGAAGCATTACAGTTAACACCTTTCTTCCGAGCCTGTGTGAAGAGTTTGGTAGCTAGAGTCTCCACTGAGCTTGCTCTAGCACAGGGCTGTAGAGTCTGTGCAGAACTTTCACTGCAATTGCTTCTCCCAGCTGCCAGGGGCTGCTGGGCAAAGGAATGTGGGAAGAGGAGAGTGATGCTGGTAAACCAGGTGCCAGCAATTGCAAAGGCTGTAGGTGTCAACTGAGCACTGAAATTCACAACTGGAAACCAGATCAGCTCATCCATATGTCAATATTGTTCAGAGTAGGTGTTAGACTTGTAAAGATGTCCATAAGTTGCTAAATACATTAATCTAACTTATAATGGCAGTATACCATGCTCTAAAGTAATATGCAAGTTTTGCTTTATAATTGTAAAAATGCCCGCTCTGAACTTGTGAACCTAGGCAGGAAGAGTGTTACCTCTGCCCATCAAGGACTATCAAAACTAAATGGGACAATGTAGGACAAAAATTTTGTTGATTGCCCAATCCACCCATGAGGTTATGTGCAGGAGCAATCATACCAGTGGTTTGAACTCTGGGGGAAGGGCAGATAAAGACGCTTACAAGAAGAAATAGCTCTCTCTCTCTCTCTGCCGTTTGGACTCTCACAACGGCTAAGAAGTAAAAGCAGAGATCCCCAGGGTCAACCTGGTTAGCCCTAAAAGACGTTCAGTGGAAAGATTACAACATCTCTGTCACCTTTCAGAACCACAGATTGTAACACATTTGTGCTTATATGTTGCCTGCTTTAACCTGTAAATAACTTTCTCATTTCTTTTTCCCAGTTAATAAATCCTTAGTTAGTTTACTATAAGATTGGCTACCAGTGTTGTCTTTGGTGTGAGATCTAAGGTGCAAATTGATCTGGGGATAAGTGACTGGTCTCTTGGGACTGGGAACAACCTGAATATGTTGTGATTTTTGATGTAAGTGACCATTTATCACTAACTCCAGCTTGCCTGGGTGGCAAGATAGACCTGAATGCCCAAGAGTGACCCAAGGGTAAGACTTTTACAGTGATCCACAAGCTCACATTTATTACTGGGTTGGTGAAATCTAATTACAGAACATACCACCAGTTGGGGTGTCTGTCCCGCTTTTTGACAGTCTGCCCTGAGGCTGGCACTCATGGTTGAGAACCACTCCAGACAGCGTGACAGAGGGATTTTTAGGAGTCATAAGCATATACTGTACATAGTAGTTTAAACCATGACCATGGATCAATTTGCCAGAGAAAGAGAGATTGTGTGTGAGTATATATAGAAAAGGAGGGGACCTGGGATAGAGGCCTGAATGACATCAGCATGACTGCAGTACAGAGAAAGAGGAGCTGCCCGGGGGGAGGCTTATTGAATAATCGGAGAATTACAAGCACACAAACAGAATCCCAAAAGCCACAGGTGGAGAGTGAGTGGTAGGAGAGGAATTAATTGACTGTTGAAAGCAGTAGGGAGAGAGAGAAGCCCTGTAAAATTGGCAATGAGAGGGTCAGTCATTGGTGACCTTAGTAAAAATGGCTTCAGTGAAAAGGAGAAGGTGGGAGCCATAATGAAGGGGTTCTAAGAGGGAGTTTAGTGGGGAAGGAGTTGAAGCAACCAGCACAACCAAGGAGTTTGTGTGCAAAGAAGAACTCTTCTAAAACCCCTATGATTTTTCTGCCTCCACCAGCACAGAGAGGTTCTAAAAATTAACACCGAGGGCTACATTAACTGTAAAAACAATGAATTTCCCGTAACTACAACTCATCTAACCTTCATTATAAAACAAAAAGCTAACAAGGTATAAATCTGTCTAGGTTCTTATGCCATAACCATCACTGTCGTGTCTGAGCACCCGTGAAGGGGATCTGTTGGATTCTGTGAGTGGAACTGGGGACAGCTAGCTGGTGAAGGGGTTTATGCCTCTGGTCTCAGAATGCTGAATTTGAAGAATAAATGTGTACTCCCCAGTTGTTAACTACACTGCAGAGAGTTCTGTGGCTCCTGTGGCAGGGCATGCAAATCCTACAGTGGCAGCGAGGTCACGAAGGAGAATCAGGGATTTTGGTAACAATTTATTTGCAAACAGTAAAATGAACTGCACTTTGCTCTTATCCTCATCTCTGGATAATTCTATGGGAACTTAAAGTAACAGTCCTCAAGGCTGTATGTAGAGTAATGTAAAACAGTGAAATAAGGTAAATGTATAAAATGTTTAATCGAAGTCCAATTTACATTTCTTTTCATGGGAATTTTGTGACCTTGAGACCTTCTCCTGTTTTGACTGATCCAGACACATAAAACTAAATATTTAAAAGATAATGCAACAGAGGGTCCCGTGGCACCTTTAAGACTAACAGAAGTATTGGGAGCATAAGCTTTCGTGGGCAAGAACCTCACTTCTTCAGATGCAAGTAATGGAAATTTCCAGAGGCAGGTATAAATCAGTATGGAAATAACGAGGTTAGTTCAATCAGGGAGGGTGAGGTGCTCTGCTAGCAGTTGAGGTGTGAACACCATGGGAGGAGAAACTGCTTCTGTAGTTGGCTAGCCATTCACAGTCTTTGTTTAATCCTGAGCTGATGGTGTCAAATTTGCAAATGAACTGGAGGTCAGATAATATAAAGATAATATATGTGAATAAAGTGACTGTTAGGTTTAAACCTTAAAATGCCAAACATTTGGGGGAAGGATGCCTCAATAAAAACATAGGTTTTATGTGAATAGTATGAAAATGTTCCAAATGAAAGGGATGCTGTATATATTTAGGTGCAAGAATTGATGGTATTTTTCATACCACACCCTCCTTCTCTCCTCCAGTATTATGATTCATCCACCCTTAACTTTACATAAGCTTAACAGAGTACAATTACACATGCAATAATTAACTGGGCATATCATCATATAAATAATGCATATAATTTTGTGCCACATTTAACATAGCTACTTACGTGGAATAGGGTATGCAAATCTGTCTGGGTGTTTTGTGATGAGTGTATTTTTTATGTGTCTTCTTCCCACACCATGTGCACCTAATCCACAACACAAAGAGGAAATTTATATTCACCACCATTAAGATATTCAAAACATACTGTTAAAATTACTGTTCTGTTTAGAATGATAAGGTATACTCAAAATTACCTAGTAAGACTAGTGTTTTCCTTTTGAATGCTGGCAGTTTTACTACTTCTTCATATGTGACGAGATCTAATTGATCAAATACTAAAATGTAACACAAAATAGAAAGATAAGAGAAAAACGTATATGAAGTGAGTTAAGAAACAGATTTTCATTTATGCCAAACTGAAATTTTAGTAACCATATTAAATGTGCATTCCAAAAGCCCATTTCTAAAAAATGTAAACTGACAATACTGAGATATATTTTAATTAGACATTTTATGGTTGCAAGTTTAATAAAAACATTCATTTTTAAGTCCACAAAAATGGTTAAAAATGTAATAACATTCAAACCTATTGAAAGGCTCAGAACAGCTTGCATGTCATTTCATGCAGTATTCAGCAGATAATGAGTTAAAATGGCATGCCATCACATTTTTTGCATGCCTAGGAAATTAGCAGTACTAAATAAAGTATACAGACAGTGACCAACATGAATACAATATGAGAACATCTATTTACACTAAAGGTAGAGGCTACGTTTAGTAATCATGTTTTATCAGAGAGTTATGAGAAATACGTAAGCAAGTAGCTTGAATTCATGTTTTATGGTTTTCTCTTTAAACAACTACCATGTTAATTATAAGTAGAGTTCTCTTCAAACACGTGCTATTTTTATTCACATGCTTTTAAAACTTTTGACACTGAATGAAGATTTGCAACAAAAAGTGATGACATTTCTGCACAAGAAAGAACCTCTACCATATTGAGGGCATATTTATATATAAAAAAAATGTCATTTTAGTAAAATCTTAATTTAACTGCAATATATATTTTCTGCAGTGCCTATCTGATCATTGTCAATTGCCAAGGTACAGTATGTGCATCAAATCAAGTTTTCTCCATTAAAATAAGCCTGTTCCTCCTTATGGCCAATAATAGAATGTTTGTGGTAACAAAATCATTTCAGTAAAATTCTAATGAAGGAATGAGGCAGGAGGCTGCTAATTATAAAGAATGCTTTAATTTAGAGATAAAGATTGCGGCAATCAGTAATTATGAAAAAGAAGGGGGATCCATTCTAACAAGAATTACCAATATTACAAGCCTGGTCTAAAAAAGGAAGGAAGGAAAGAAGCCTACTATATTATGGCTTTAATTAATCCCAGTAATCATTGCAGTAATGTAGTTTGCAAATTCAGATCCATTTAGTGTACTTAGAAACCTTTGTACAACTACTTCAACACACTGTTGGTCACACTATAAACCGGTCAGTTTAGTTATTTAAGACTTCTTAACTTAGAAAATATACGGATTTGCAAACTTGTTAGTCTGTCAGAAAACATTCTGAATTCAATTTAAAGAAAAATATCTCCCTCAACGTTTCTCCAAATATTAAAATGTACTTTTAGAGGAAGGTTCTGGCTATATTTTTGTTCACTCCAAGAACCTACAAAGATGAAGTATGCCTCTGCTATAACTTGAATTCATTTAAATTAGCTAATGAGTTTATTCAAGATTAGAAAGAGCTGTGTATCTATTTTGTGCTAACCAGCTCTGCCACTTTAACTATCTAACCCTCAAATAACTCATCCCATTGGAAAAAAAAATTTAGCCTTTATTCTTCCTGAACTGAAATACATATCAGCGACAAACACCACAAACAAACAACAAAAATGGTGCATATTAATGTCTTAACCACAAACTAGCAGCATGGAGAAGATATGCGTTGGTCTAAACGGGATTACCGTAGGGTAATCTGACTGTAGGGTTTCCATACACAAGTGGAAAATGATTTTTTGTACTCAAGATATGAGGAATACAAGGACACATTTAAAAACAACTTTTAATGTTTCTGTGCAACTAGCTAATAAAGAAAAGGAGTTATTGAAAGGAAACAGTAAGAAGCAAATAAAGAGGCATTGTCACTTGACAGGTTACTTACATGCACAGAGGCCATTGGGAGTAAGACAGCATGAAAAATGTACAGGGGTCATTGAGATATGGCTTGTAATATATTAGTAAAATAAAAAGTATATGCACAAAATAAACTTTCCCATGCAATATTCTAAACACAAGGCAAATAAATAACATTAAGAAATGGTAAACGCATTTTATAAAAGCTTGGCAGTATTCTAATAGTCATTATTTTATGCATACTGTGAAACATAACTTAAATCTGAGGAATGATATTTTACAAAGTCCTGCAATAGCATTTCTGCAAAAAATAATAATAATAATAATAATAATATATTTTTTTCAAATACATTTAAATATCACTACAATGTATCTTATGACACATCTGAAAATGGTAAGTGAATCTAATAAAGCCAAACTATTAAGTAATGTTAATTTTGGTTGATTTAAAATAGACTGTTGAAAGATCTGGCATGTTACTGTACACTGTTTGAGGACTTGGCCCAAGACTTGAGAACTGGTTAGGGACAAAAGTGAGGTGTGACAGCAATTATCTTTGCAGCAAAGGAGAAAATTCTGTCTTTTTGACTATAATAAGCAATTATAATATTTTCTCCATGGCTTCATAAATTGTTTGATCTGCAAAGCAATCTGGTGACAAGCACCACTGATATCTTGACAAATCACACCAAAATTGAAGCTATTTCCCTAAAATATTTAGCAAACCATACATTTTTAGTTGCCTGCCAGGCTGTTTTACCAACTACATTCCAGCACCTCCATAAAATAGTAGCACGGGAAAATACTCAGAATGGGTCTATTGCTTAAGACTTAAAAAAAAATTTGTATGTTAAATTTTTCCTGTGAATGCTCCTAACAGCAAAGAGGAGCAAATTCTAACTTTGGATGCTTTTGTGTGACTCCTTCTATGGAGTTTGAATTAGATTCCTCAGATTCAAACTAACTCTGCTGTTTTTTGTTCCTAGTAAGATCCAAGAAAGGACCTATTTTCCAGTTCCGGGGCAGATGTTGCTAAAATCTTGTGAGAACAGCCAGTTTGTGACATCATGACTCAAAATGGTGGAAATCTCCAAACAGATGATCTTGTAAAATTTCTACCTTTTGAGATGAGAAATCTCACAGGATCATGACTGCCATTTGGGGCCCAAATCTTATAAGAACTGCTCATAAGATTTGGCAACCACACATCCAAACCCTAACTTAATTATGTCTTATAGGTGTAGTATTATTTTAGTTAACTTCTTGCTGCCCTGCAATCTCTTGCATTAGATAATTAATTCCTCTAAATCAAAGACACTAAGACTGAATTAAGATTTTCCAAATAGACCCTATTTAGAACCCACAGTCCAATTAGCCTATTGTTTCTGAGCATATGTACCAAATGGTACTATGTCAAGGATACGATTTATTTTTTTACCTGTGTTTGTTATGATGATCTTCTATTTTTATTTATAAATTTTGTGAGAAATATAGTGCTCTTGGACAGGGCCAGCTCTAGGTTTTTTGCTGCCTCAAGCAAACAAATTTTTGGCTGCCACCCACCCCAGCCCTGGGCTCTCACCCGCTCCCCACCAGTGCCCTCCCCCACCCACACCCTCTGCCGCCCCAGCCCTGGGCTCCCCGCCACCAGTGCTGACTCTGCCCACTCCCCCCCTCGCCTCCAACCAGTCCAGCGCTGGCAGGGTCAGGGTAAGCAGTGGGGCTCCCAGGCCACGCCTCAGCCCAGGGTACCTCCAGCCAGGGCTCCCGCCTCCAGGACCGGCCGGGACCCGGGAGGGCAGAGCCGGGGACCGCCCCGGCAGGGAGCTGAGGAGCCGGGGCAGGGTAGGCCCAGAGGGAGCGGAGCCCCAGAGAGCAGGACGCAGGCCCCACGGCAGCGCCCCACCCTCTATGGCCCTGCTGCTGCTCCTGGCTGCCCTGCCGCAGTCCCTGGGCGGCTTGGGCCGCTGCACTCAGGCCGCCCTTTGGCACCTGCAGGTGGCTCTGTGTACCCCATGGGGCGGCCCCCAGCCTGAGTGTCCCCCGCTTGGAGCCAGCCTGGCCCAGCCACAAGGTGCGGCACTGCTCCCCCGCGGCGTGAACCGCAGCGGCCCCCGGGTGCCCCCAGCGCACAACGCGCTGCTGCTGCCAGGGCCGGCTCTAGGGTTTTGCCGCCCCAAGCAAAAAAAGAAGAAAAAAAAAAGATGGCCGGAATGCCACCCCTGAAAATGTGCCACCACGTGCTTGGTTTGCTGGTGTATAGAGCTGGTCCTGCTCTTGGAGGTGAGAGGCTAACAGCATTGGCCGTAGGTAGGAGTAATACAGGCAAGCACTATGCAAGCCAGCACACCTCAATCGTAACCTGAAATATCCCTGCTATATCAAGTTACCAGAAAAGTCTGTCATGTATTCCTCATTCTCTGTAGTTTTCTTATTAATTTTTGTAAGATGGTTGCAACACTATTTTAATTAAATGCAAATATTAAAACAGTACAAGTAACTCAAACCAATAAGAGAAATGAAATTAAAAGATTTTCAACCTGTATTCCTCTTGTCTTTTAATGCTTAGTTACAGTACAGCAAGGGTTTCGGAGCAAGTGAGTGATTTTATATTTAGTACCATATGTTCTACTGGAGGGCCAGTAGGACATCAGCTGTACTGACATGGCAATTGACATTACATTGTTACTAATCTTTTGAGAAAACTGAAAGCTTACACTGACACTGTAATGGGCTTTTTCTGCTTTGGACACCAGAGGGTCACGACTGGAAAAGCTGCAGTTAATGCAATACATAAAGACACTTCACTATAAAATGTTGGATATATGTATCCTGTGGTTCTGATAAAATCCTTATAGCTCAAACGACAAGAGTATCATAATATATTACCATAATAGTTTTCAACATAAATAAAAATGCAGTAAAAACAGATTAAACGTATTGACTATTTTCACTTTTTTAATAGCAAGATACGTCAAATCCACATAAAGAACTATTGGCTCTATCCAACTCCCATTGAAGTTAATGAGAGATTTGCAGGATCAGGCCCTATGAGTCTGCCAAATTTCAGTTTTCAAAATTTTTCAGAGTCGACCAAAACACTTCATTTTTTTTTAGCATTCTAGGTAGAATACAGTCCTCAGAACTCAGTCAACTGCAGGCATTAGGGGCATAACTCCAAGAGTTTGTCTAATTTCATCCAAACGCAATCAAGGTTATATATGTTTAAAGCTGAATCTACAGTATAACTTGAGAACATAGCAGAAGTTATATGTTATTCTGTTGGAAGTTCAACTGTGAAACCACACTTTGTAACTTCATAGTGACATTTATTCTTCTTTCAGCTGTAAAGCTGAAAGAAAACACCCTTTTGCAAATCATGTTTTAATTTACATAATCTATATTGACAAGAATGTCTGGATGCTGCTGCAGAGTCCTCTGTAGGCAAGAAGTATAGTATGGTATAAAACACTTTATACAGACTACTCAAGTTTTATCTTGTTGGCTTCCACAGTTCCTTGAAATACTGAAACCAGAGCAGTACAATACTACTGTCGGATATGTTATGGTGAATTTATCATGTTGCAGATTGCTTGGATTTGATCTTATTGGTTAAACTATAAGTTTAAATACTGGACAGAGAATCAGTATAGAACTGCTGGTATAGTTACAGCTTTACTTAACTTAACTTTTCCTATATAACTCACTAGGTTCATGGCAGTGCCAGCTGGCCAACAACAAACGAGGTTTGGCTGGCAAAGCAATTTTTAACCCAGTCTCAAGGACCCTTGCTTCTCATACCTGCATTGTGCTTTGCCAAGTATTTGTCTTTGTACTGCTTCTTTTTCTTTCCAAACCAAGTACAGCTGGCCTGCTGCTCCTGTTTGGTCTTCTCCATGGCAATACAAGCTACTCGCCTGACATGTGAAGGGGAAGAAATAACTAATTAGCTTGTTGTTATGGACAACCTAGTACAGTATCCATCGTTCACTGAAGTATTAACTCTGCTATTATAAACATATATTTAAAAGGACATGTGATACTTCAAAAAGAAGGCTGTTTTAATTTATGGGTGTACAACAAGACTTCTTAAAACTTCCTTCTATTAAAGATGTTCAGTTAGAGATATGAATATTAATACATGTATTTTACAGGTGCATTACTATAAGGACTGTTCTTAGAGCTCACAGCTCAGGAGAAAGAGGGGACTAAGATGGCTTTAAACCACATTTGTGTTCCCTGATGCTAGGCTGCTTTAAGGTCTGGAGATGCCCCTGGCATAATTTAGACAGGAGTGAAGACCTGGGTAAGTTACACAGTCTCCTGGGGCTGCCCTATAGGTTGCAGTGCCAGCCAAAATCTCCACATTGATGCGTGTTGCACCACCAGAGACATACCCCTCCCAACCCAGCATGCCCTCTATATCAGTGGTTCTCAACCAGGGGTACATGTATCCCTGGGGGTACGCAAAGGTCTTCCCGGGGGTACATCAACTCAGCTAGATATTTGTCTAGTTTTACACCAACCTACATAAAAAGCACTAGTGTATTCAGTACAAACTAAAATTTCATACAGACAATGGCTTGTTTACACTGCTCTATATACCTACACTGACATGTAAGCACAATATTTATATTCCAATTGATTTTATAAGTCTATGGTAAAAATGAGAGAGTAAGCAATTTGTCAGTAACCGTGTGCTGTGACACTTTTGTGTTTTTATGTCTGATTTTGTAAGCACGTAGTTTTTAAGCGAAGTGATACTCGGGGTACGCAAGATAAATCAGAATCCTGACAGGTCACAGCAGTCTGGGAAGGTTGAGAGCACTGCTCTATACCGAGGGTAAATTCATTTCTATAGAAAACCAAAAAAACATACCATTCTTGAAGCTCAGGAGAAGGAATGAGACCTGCAGTACCATTTTTGGAGTTCTCCAGTTTACCCTGCCACCAGTTATGATCATCTTTGCTAATGATCTGGATAATGTCTCCAACTCTGAATCTGATGCCAGCTTCTTTGCAGGGGATGAGGTCATCCTTTGCTGGATCATATTCAAATTGTGCTCTTACATATATCTATAAAACAGGAGTTTGTAAAAGACATTTGCCATATTACACTCATTGGTAGTAAGTACAATAGATGAAAATTTGATCTGCACATCTAGCTACCACACACTGTATGCTTACAAGCAGAGGAAGAAACAATGATGAAAGCATAAGTGACAGCTGAAAACAATGGAGACAATGTGATGTTATCTGTAATACTTGTGACTTCTACATATTGTAAAGTCTAAGAGTAACAGCAAATGTTCTCACTCTGTGTGGACTCTTATCTACAAATCTTTAATATAGATTGTTGGGGTTACTGAAAATTTAAAAAAATCTAAATCTGCATATTATTAGCAGTGATCTAAAATTACAGGTTGAAGGTTAGTACATTTCATAGCTTGAACTGTACTTACCTTCAACAAAAGCTACGTAACACATTTTCAAGTTGGATGATATTTTAATGCTAAGAAGTATTACTATATAATTATCAGTACTCCTTTAGACTAAACCAAATTCTCACGAGACATAATAAAAAACCCAGTATAGTACCTATTAAATATATTTGCTTGGATGGACTCTAGGTAATCTCTGTATAGTTTAAATTAGTGCAAATACATTCGCAGTTGTATATACACTCATAGGTGCCAATGATAGACAATTGCAATTCTTTCAATACCAGTTTCTTACTTTGTGTGTCATCCTAGAACAATGGTATTAAAATGAATAGTCTGAAAGGGGTATGCTTTCAGGAGCACAAACAGCAGAAATGAAGTTTTTAACTGTTCTGTTTTAAATAATATAATAAGGCTTTGCATTTATTTAGTGCCTTGAATCAGAGGATCTCAAAAGGTATTAAATGTCCTGACCAGGGTCACACAAAACATCTGTTACACGACTGAGAATAGAAAACAGATAGCCTAACTTCCAGAGTTACGTTAATGTTACAAGATCAAATGTGATGGTTTGGGAAATCTGTCAACGTACACCTTTATGAATTCTGATTGATTTTATGAACTCGATGTATAACTAAACCCTCAACATGGATTGAATCAGCTACTTGTTGACAGGGACCATGTCAAATACCATGCACCCTGACAAGAAAGACAATGAATATGCTAAAGAGACTGGCCAAGCAAAGGAAACTGGTGATCTCAGGTTGTCTGCAGTGGGGGGCTGGAGCAATAGAATCCCCAGGAGAAAGGCAGAACAAAGGAAGAGGTATTAGAAGTTGCTGTTAAAGAGACACATGTTCTCTCAGCTAGGGAGAACCTTTTGACTGCTGTGAGTAATTGTCGTAAGACAGAGACAAAAAACCTGAAGGCTGAGCAGGGAGAAAGGAGCATCTTAAGACCCTGAAAGGATTGACCAAATCCCTAAAGGATTCTTGGAGTGGTGAGAAAACCGGAGAGAGGGCTTTTGCATGTAAGGTTTGCTGTGGTTTGAAAGAAGTGGATTCTCTCATAGCAGCAGCTGCTGCCACATTCCAGGCCTTTCATCAGTGGTCTCTGTGGAGAAGCTGGGACATCAAGCTTATTATAAAGCTGTAGATCTACAGGATGATGATTATGTCAACTGTATCATATGGCAGTGAAACATGGGCACCGAGGACGACTGAAGAGTGGTGATTGATGTTTTTACTTCTGGTCATCTTCAACAGCTGGTCCCTATTAAATGGCAGGACAATTTTAGCAATGAGGATATTCGTGGCTGAACCCCGCAACCACCTCCATCAACACTGGTTTAATTTTGGCAGCTTTCTTGGTATGGACATATTATTAGGTTGGAAGACCAATGAATCATGAAGTGTGTTTACTAAGGAATGCCGCTACATGGCTGACAATTATGTGGTTGTTAAACGTTTCAATGGCATGACAAGATTGCCAGTGATGGACACAGATGCAACATCCAGATGGATCATCTTAAGGACCTAGCTAGAGATCAGTCTGGTTGACACTCAATGTGTAAGGAGGCTATGTCCCTTTGGGATTTGTAATGGTGGTGATGATGATTTGTTATTTGTGTAACTGTCACATGTTCCTGAAGGGTTAAACTAAACCAGAGAACCCATGAGGGTAGGGCTCTGGAAAAGATAATGGGGAGATCTGGGTACAGAACTGGTCTAGAGACCTAGGGCAGTGGGGTCCCACTTCTGACAAGGGGTTCTAGACAGGGAGACTGTATCCCCAGAGAGAGCCTGAGAGGCTAGAGACAGTGCTTGGATGCTGCTCTGCCTCAGAGGGCTTAGAAACATGCAGGATCCAGAATTTGGACCCAAACACAGCAGCCTGGTGAATGTTCAACAGGGGACGCTCTACCAGTCTGACACAACATCCTTCCCCTCATTTAAAATGTGATTATAGTCAGAAAAATGACTGTAAAAACAGCACTGTGGAATTTTATGTTTATTGGCATATGTTTAATGTGCTTGGTTTGCTTGCCAGTAAGATATTTTCCCCTAACTGGCAGCCTTGAAGACTCAACCTGGGATCTTTACGGCTCTTGCAGACTCACTAGTAAGAAAAATTCTGCATTTGGAACTTAGTTAACAATTCTGTTGGTGCTATATAACCCAGAAAAGGATATAGCTCACTCTGCGATAGCTCTATTGGTTCTGCAGTACAAAGAAGTTAATAGGTGTTATTGGTCAGAAATGTAAGCAGATATGTCTCTGAATACACACAATAAGGAGGAGCTGTTTGTACAGAGACACTTTCCTGACCACAATTTGCTCTGTTTGCTTTAAATCATATGTATTTTAAATAAATGATTGTAAGACAGAGCAATACACTTTACTTACATTTATAAACATTTATCCACCTTCCTTCCTTTCAAATTAAAATCTTATCCTCACTTTGCCATTGACTCTGTGTGGCCTTGGGCAAGTCACTACCCTCTTTCCTCAACAGACATCTGTAAAATGGGGATTTAAAAACACTTTCACTGCTTTTACTAATTTGTTTTTTGTGATTTGATCATTATTGCAGTCACCTTTGCGTTTCCCCCTCTCTGGTACAAACAGCCTAGAATAGTGATCAATATTGTGTACCACTAGAAGTTCCGCCTTTCTTTTCCCTCTTACTTCCAGCATGATTCTTCCCTGTGCACTATGTCTCCATTCAGAGACTGCTGTGGCCCTTTATGGAAAAGTTTGGACTTCTTTAAATATATCTTAGGAGTCCTACAAAAACCTAGAATGGGTCCAACTCTCTTCTGGGCCCACGGTGAAGGAAAGAGCTGGCTGGGCAACATTCTGGTTCAGGTGAAAAGGAACCCTGGGAAGGAAACTGGAACAACTGCAGCTGGTAGATTAGAACAAGGTATGAGGGAAACCATGAAAGAGTAGATGATTCTTCCACTATCCTGGCCAAACTGATGGACACTAAGAAAAATACTTTAAGGGAAGGAAAGCAAAAGTCAGCTGAATACAGAGTCTTAAAGGGTGTTTCACAGAGCATCTGTACGACTAGACTCAGGCTGCCTGGGACCTCTAGAGAGGAAAGGAAACTGCAGGACTTCAAAAACAGGAAACAAAAGAAGAGTAACCCATTGCTCGAACAGGTCTGACTGAGCCTGATAAAAAAAGACCTTTACAGAATCTGTTCAGCCTGGAATTCCTTGAATTTCATGGTTGTAATGATATTCCCATATAAATTATCCCCCGTCTTTGCATTGCTGGAGCGAGGGGATGAATCTCTAGTTCAGATTCAGAGGAAGTTTTCCCTTCTTCAGGGCAGACCGTGGAAAGGTTGGGCCTGCAAGAAGTCACCGATGAAGATGGATCTGGGGCCTCTTGTGCAACATAGTGGTATGGCAGCTGAAACAAAGAAAAAGTTCCTTGAAACTGCAGAGGAGAATTATTAGGAAGCATTTGCAGAACCCTTAAAAGGGTTTCTTGGAATCTTCTTGGGACGGAAATGTCCTGCTTTGGCTTGTGAAACTATGTAAGACAGTTCTAGTTCAGGCCAAGATCATAAGGCTAAGAAGGGACTGAAAAATCCCTTGAGCTCCTTATGTTAAAAAAAATAATTAAATAATGGAGGGCCTCCTGGCTCTTCCTGCTCTTCTGACCCAAGATGCACTTCTGAGAGAGAGAGAGAACCTGCACCAATGGGTGAGCGCCTTTTCCCTCTCTCCTGATGGTGAAGGATGGTTTCACATGTCACCTGGCTCCAATGTAGCCAGGGCCCTCTGCTCCCTCTACCTGCGCAAAAGCAAGGGCTGCTCTTAGTAGGTTAGATTCTGCCATACTTACTCACTCGGAGTACTGCATTGCTCCATAAATAGCCAAGAAAGGTCCTATCCAAAGAGCCTAAAAGCAGAATCTGGCCCAAAGAAGACACCTGTCACTGAGGACAAAATGCTGCTGGAGCCATGCAAACATTGCAGTGTGTATTTCAAATAGATGCATGCACATAATACACAAACTCAGGTATATAATAGAATATATAATACACAAACTCAAGTGTGTGTATATACATACATACATATATGTATATGTATATTCATATGTATATGTATATATATATATACATACACACACACACACACCTGAGTTTGTGTATTTTATATATATATATATATAAAAATATATAATTACCTGTGTTTGGATATTTACACACCCTCAAATATCTAACTAAACCAAACTTCTCTGTAAGCACTACAGGAAAAATGAAACTGGACTGTAATTCAGTTTACGGAGATATAAGCTAAACATTATAAAAATCTTTGAAAAGAGATCAGAAACAAAAATAATTTCTTTCCCTTAAACTCCTTGTGAAATTTGCTCAAAAATTTCCAGAAGAAATCTGCACTCTGGAATGAAGTGTGGTGCATGAAATTTGCAGTGTGCTGGTTTTGGTGAAGCTAGAGTATGAGGTTGTAAATTAGCCTTATAAATGGGATGATAACTTCAGATTTAGCGGCCCTTCATAAAAGTAATCCTCAGCACTTAGTAAACATTAATAACTAGTTATGAACTAATTAAAATACTAAACTTTTAAAGTTTTCTCAGAATGATGTTTTAAGTTATTTTAAGCTTCCTTTATTTGTCTCAGTTTGATCTACATTCCTGGCACAGAATAAAGCTGTACTTTATTCCAAAGTGAAAACCTGTGCAGGTTTCTGATTTGAACAGTGCTGTACGTGTCTATTAATGTGTTCTTAATAATTAAAACAACCACACAGTCTGAAATTACAATGAACTTCCCAGTCTCTCTCACACATATAAATGGATGAAAAAAATATTACTGTGAATTAGCCATAAACAATGAGTTAAAAACAAAATGGGACGCATTCTTCAAGCTTAAATGTTATAGTCCAGCACATACAGAATGGAAAAAGGTAAGAAGGGGTTGGCTACTAGCAGCTAAGTTTAGAAAAGCTCCCATGGAGGATATCTATTCACCTGTCGTCCTTTTGGTTGTGTTGTTGATGGCAAGTCCTGCAGAACAAAGCCAACCCAGGAGAAGAAATTTTCATTTTACTTTTTTAGAGTATACAACATAATTTGTTAGTATAATTTGTTACATTACAGCAAAATGTTACATTGTACATATGTATAAAACATTAACTCATTTCTTAGAAGTTTTTATTTCTTAAGGAAAATCAAACCCAGGCTGTTTAGCAGCAAGCTGAAGAAAGCAGGTAAAAGTTTAAGCAGATAGAAAATGTGCTTTTTCTTAAATAAATGATTCAGCATCTTCAACACAAAAGCACCTGCAAGTGAAAGAGGCTCTCTATAAGAATGCCTTTTTCAACTTAAGAAATACTTAAATTAGATGTGTTTCTAGAAAATAAGAAATAGTTACAATAAATATTACTAAATTTTATCTTAGAAAGATATTAAATGTTAAATTGTGACCAAGAATAAATTTATGAGTGTGTCTATTATGTTGCAAGTTCAGTATTTTCCACAGAAATGTATTGAAATTCTCCATCCACATAATTATCTTTCATTGTTATAATTAAAATACTTTACTTTGCAGCTAACCATTTCTAAACTGTAATTTACTTTTAATAGTTGACGGAATAGTTGCCCTGCTCTGGGTTTTTCAGTTGATACACAATCCCATGAAGTGATGGCATTGTTGAAGTTATCAGAGTGTGCAGAACTGTGAGTGTCAGCAGCACTCTTATAGAAATCTTACAGAAGGAACTTGCAGATACAGATGCTTTGTAATGTTTTGCCATATAAATCACGACAATGACAAATGATAAACAATACAAATTTCAACATCTATTTAGGAATATCTGAAATCAAGACCACCCTTCTACCTGAATACACGCTGAACTGGAAGTACTTTGTGTTAAAGATGTGATGATACTAGCTTGGTTTGTAGTGCAGTTTAAAGCCACTTCCTTTTGCTTTCCATACCCAGGCAAGGCTCATATTTCACAAAGTATGTGCACGTACCACAACAGCAGAGGGCACACCAATTCCTTAACTCAGATAGCGGAAACGAATACACATTCCAGAGGTCTCTCAAAACTCCAAGGTTGGAAAAGCCCTGAAATACCTGCTGTGCAATTATTCTTCTTTGAAACACTGCTTCAAAAGTTTAGAATGGAAATAATGCTTCCACTTTAAATCCTTACTTAGTTTTGAGGAAACTAGGACCAGGGGATTGCTAAGAACATTTTAAAGATGAGTGAACTACCATGTTACACTTGTTAATATTTAATCAATTAATTTAATGTTAATGAGAAGAATATGTTGTTGAAAAAAAAAAACCCTTAAAAGGAGAAAATGGGGAGTTATAATTGTAGTAGCTTTGAATATATCAGCAGAACACAATTTTTCCACTGAACACATATAACTATAACAGTAATGGTAGATGAGCACCAACAAAATTTGTACACTTTCTCTGTCTGGAACTAGAGGTCTTACCGAAACAGAATTGTTAGTGCTGCTATGACCATTAGCTGGGGACTGTCTGGATGTAGAGGGGGAATCTCTCTGAAATAAGACACAAGGTTCATTAACACACAACACTATTACAGGAACACAGATATATTTAAAAGAAGAGTTACATCCACAGCTTTATATTAATTTCTTCAGCTGTTTCTTTGGAGAAAGTTTCCACACTATAAACTGCACAAGTATCCCAAAATACTGAATAGTTTTTTACAATTTGATATTTGGATTTATTTGCTTATTTATCTTATAAATTAAATATTACTACTACCTCAGCAGTCAGTTTTCTGAATTTCCCAATATTTGGGACCACTTCTTAAGCATTGCCTCACGTGGCAATCAAAATGATCTGGTGCATCAGTAGCTATCTTTCACAAAAAAATGTAAGATTACATGCTGAACAATTTAAATAGGATGGGCAACAGCAGTCTTCAGCATATAGCTGATTTTAAACAAACTTTCTAGTCATTTAGGTGTGCTGATGTTGGGAATGATCTTTCCTGCTCCATGAAATGTCCTTACGCACACTGCCTCCACCAGTTCCTGGAGGACCCCAGCTGGAGCCCAGAGCTGGCTGCTCGGGTGAGGTAACTGACTTTTTTATTTTTTAAACTTTTGCATTTTTTTTCTGTTTTTCTTTTGCATCTTATGCCATAGCTTTGTAAAGTTTCAAGTAATTTTTATTTTTATACTCTACTTGGTATAAAAGTAAAATTTTGCCAAATTAAATACATTTCTAATAAATAAATACATTCAGAATAAAATTCTGCCAAACTTCAGCTTTTCACACAGTCCCAGATGACATTCTCATAAGCAAACTAGGGAAATGTGGTCTAGATGAAATTACTATAAGGTGAGTGCATAACTAGTTGAAAGACCGTACGCAAAGAGTAGTTATCAATAGTTTGTGAGGATGCATTCAGAGGAGCCCCACACGGGTCAGTCGCGGGTCCAATACTATTCAATATTTTTATTAATGACTTGGATAATGGAGTGAGAGTATGCTTATAAAATTTGCAAATGACACCAAACTGGAAGAGATTGCAAGTATTTTGGAGGGCGGAATTAGAATTCAAAACAACTTTGACAAATTGGAGAATTGGTCTGAAATCAACAAGATGAATTTCAATAAAGACAAATTTGAAGTACTACACTTATGAAGGAAAAATCAAATGCACAACTAGAAAATGGGGAATAACTGGCTAGATGGTAGTACTACTGAAAAGGATCTGGGAGTGACAGAGGATCACAAATTAAATATCAGTCAACAATGCGATGCCATTATGAAAAAAGCTAATATTTTGAGACGCATACGTAAGATATGGGAGGTAACTGTCCTGCTGTACTTAGCACTGGGGAGGCCTCAGCTAGTGTAATGTGTCCAATTCTGGTACACAAATTAAGAAAGATGTGGACAAATTAAGAAAGATGTGGACAAATTGGAGAGAATCTAGAGGAGAGCAACAACAGTGATAAAAGATTTAGAAAACTTGACCATGGGCATGTTTAATCTTGGGGGAAAAAAAAAGACTGAAGGGGAACTGATAATGTCTTCAAATATATTAAAGGCTGTTATAAAGAGGAAAGTGATCAATTGTTCTCCATGTCCACTGAAGGTAGGACAAGAAGTAATGGGATTAATCTGAAGCAAGGGAGATTTAGGTTAGATATTAGGAAAAACTTTCTAACTATAGGGATAGTTAAGCTCTGGAATAGGATTTCAAGGGAAGTTGTGGAATCCCCATCATTGGAGGTTTTTAAAGAACAATTTAGATAAATACCTGGCAGGGATGGTCTAGGTTTACTTGGTTCTGTCTCCGCACAGGGAGCTGGATTAGATGACCTCTCGAGGTCCCTTCCAGCCCTGAATTTCTAGTATTCTGTGATTCTATATAACAAAAAAGCCACCACTTGCCTGAGCCTTGCAGGGTGGCTCTATGCTCCAGGGGAGTTCCATGGTGGTTGAGACATTATCTGCAAAGCGCATGTTGGGACATATTATGGAATGGGAAATGGGGATTTGTGATGATTTTGGGTCTTGAATAGGGGGAAAAAAGGGATAATTGCCAAACCTCCTGTTTACCCTTGCTATTTTGAGTGCACAGTACTTTACAATATGAGCTCATCATCAAAGAAATCTCAAGTGCTAATTGGATACTTATTCAGTAAACAAAATAATTAATTCACACATTGTATAAAAACCAAGAGTGCTGAATTGTAATGTTCCATGTCTAAAATCCTTTTAGGTATCTTCAGCTGTTAGCGTCATAATGTTACAGACAACAAAATGAGAAAAAACAGATAATTTTTTTTTAAATCCTTTGTGCATAGCTTATCAAATGACAGTGCATTTAACAAGTATATTAGAAGCCAGGACCCCATCTACACTGCTCACGAGACAACATTTATCTGATTAGACTTCACCATTAACAAGGTATTAACATATACAAGAAAGTTATATAACAGCACTCATAACTATCCCAAAATACCAGTGAATAGTTCAAATAACAGGCACTATTTATTGTTGTTGCCTGTATTATTTGATGTGCTGTATAAACTCAACACAGCATTCAGGACTTAGTTTTGACTCATTGAGTATGGTTTAAAATGAAATTCCATGAGTAGCCACCTAGAGGAGCTCCAGACCTGAAATAGCAGAGCCACAAGTTTGCTAGTCTTATCACTTTTAAGATCTTTTTATCTCAATAAAATCCACCATAAAAAACAAATAGTTCTGTATATTTCCACTAGATGGGTTTGGAGAAAATACATAGTCATTTGGCTGCCTTAGTCATTTACAGTACTTAACAGATTGGCAGAAACACGTCTATTGTTTTTTGCAAAAATCTTCAAGCGCAACAACTTCCAATTATCCAAGTGAGGCCAAATAAGCTACTTGGTCTATGCTTCAAGGAATTTTCCTCATTTTGCTTCATTTGGGTTTATTTTATTTATCTGCCCCTTTAAGTAACATTAGATGGTGGGTAAAAGACGCTACTCCTTCCAAAAAGTTGCAATTTCCTTCCCCTACACACAGAGCTTCCTTCCACTTGCAGCAGATTTTTTCAGGTAGCACTAGATTATGAGTCACATGGAAGAGTCATTTGTCCCCTCAGATGTGCTCATCTCCTGCTGGCTCTGCCCACCTCTCTGACTGTCTAGAATAGATGGAATATGGATTAACTTGGGTACCTCTGATTTGGTTTGCTTGTCAAATGACAATTTGGCAAGGGGCAAACTTTGGGACGTGCTGGAAGCAGACACAGCCTATTTGTCTAATCTGGGCAAGAAAAAGTCCAGATGGAGGGAGAAGGCATAGCTGCACAGGCTCTTGACCACATCTCCTCCCCAAGGAAGATTTCTTGGCCTACTACAAAGGCCTGTGGACCTGAGGATATTCTAAGATCTGTCTCAGTGTAATGCTCCACTAACCAGCTTTTACTTCTGAGGGGCTTCAGTGGATCATGTCTTGTCCTGACTTTCCTAGTGGCATTAGGCAGTCAACGTTTCATGGGCTACGTGTGATTCCATGAAATCTATTTAGTGCCCCCTGAACAGCTTAATGGTTGGAAACTATTACAAACCCAAGCAAAATTTTAAAAAGAATGCCTTGAGTAAGTTTGGTAGCCCTTTGAAAAGTGCCCCGCTCCCCAACATTGGGAACCAAGAATCACAATTAAGAACTAGTGTGATCTGCTTTTAGGCTCCTGATTGCCAATTCCACAAATCAGAGAAGCCAAATAACAAAAATGCATCTGTAAACTCAGAGGTCATACCCTATGACTTGAGAATTGGTAATATAGTTTCTATTTTTGAAAAAGGGAAAAAAAGTGATCTGGGAAACTACAGACCTGTTAGTTTGAACTCAATTGTATGCAAGGTCTTGGAACAAATTTTGGAAGATAAATTAGTTAAGAACATAGAAATAAACGGGTAATTGGGATAAAATCCAATGTGGTTTTATAAAACGTAGATTGTGCCAGACCAATCAGATCTCCTTCTCTGAGAAGGAAACTGATTTGTTAACAAAGGAAATACAATAGATCTAATCTACCTGGATTTCAGTAAGGCATTTGATTCAGTTCTACATGAGAAATTATTAGTTAAATTGGAGAAGTTGGGGATTAATATGAGAATTGAAGGTGGATAAGGAATTGGTTAAAGGGGTGTCTGCAACGGGTCATACTGAAAGCTGAACTGTCAGGCTGGAGGGAGGTTACTAGTGGAGTTCCTCAGGGATCTGTCTTGGGACCAAAGTTATTTAACATTTTTATTATTGACTTTAGCACAAAAAGTTGGAGTGTGCTAATAAAATTTGCAGATGCCACAAAGTTGGGAGGAATTGCCAATACGGAGGAGAACTGGAATATCATATAAGAAGATCTGGATGATCTTGAAAACTGGAGTAATAGAAATGGAATGAAACTTAATAGTGCAAAGTGCAAGGTCACACAATTAGGGACTAACAACAAGAATTTTTGCTATAAGCTGAGGACTTATCAATTGGAAGTGACAAAAGATGAGAAATACCTGCGTGTACAGGTTGATCACATGATGATTATGAGCTACCATGAAAAAGGCTAATGCAATCCTAGGATGGATGCATCAGGTGAGGTATTTCCAGTAGAGACGGGGAAGGGTTAGTACCCTTATACAAGGCAATGGTGAGACCTCTACTGTGTGCATTTCTGGTGTCTCATGTTTAAGAAAGATGAATTCAAACTGGAACAGATGCAGAGAAGGGCTACTAAGATGATCAGAGGAATGGAAAAACCTACCTTATGACAGGAGACTCAAAGAGGTTGGCTTGTTTAGCCTAACCAAAAGAAGGCTGAGGGGAGATATGATTGCTTTCTATAAATACATCAGAGGGATAAATACCAGGGAGGGAGAGGAGTTATTTAAGGTACGTGCCAATGCGGACACAACAACAAATGGCAATAAAACTGGCCATCAACAAGTTTAGGCTTGAAATTAGATGAAGGTTTCTAAGCATCAGAGGAGTGAAGTTCTGGAACAGCTTCCTTAGGGAAGCAGTGGAG